AAAAAAAAAAAAAAAAAAAAAAAAAACTATCAAACAAAAGAAATGTGAAAAAGGATATCCACAAAAAATGCATCCATGCATTTATTTTCCCATTCATTGGCCCATTCTCATTATCTTTTTTCCTATATAATACAATATATACTACAACCATGAGTTAGAATTCTCAAGTATACATACCAACTGTTTAGTGTGTTTTTGCTTTCAATATGCAGCAGCAGTAGGTAACTTCCTTGCCAGTTAGAAGCTGGTTATTTTACTTCCTGCAAAAATCATAGACTGGATTCATTTAGACCACTTTTACGCAAGCCTAACGGTTAAACAGACACATTCGTTACATAAGAAGATCCTAAGAGGTGAACTTTTTAAGCACAAGACAACAAAACACGTGATGCGAGTTTGCGAATCACTTTCGATCCGTTCTGTCTCGTAATGTAACAAAGACAGCTATATTACCTACCAAAGAACATAGTATCAAATATGATCTTACCCAGCAATAAAAAGCCAAATAAATCCAAGCAGTTGGGATTTGGACTGTATCAGACCCTTCACATGACATTAATGCTACATAGCCTACAAACTAAAAATCATACCATCTAAAAATCAAGAGATGAACTGTTCTGCCAATGTCTTTATTTGTTAATTAAAACCCAATTATTTCGTTTTCTCGGTATGAATGATATTTGTTTCGCTGCATTTTTCATCCTTTGCTGGGAGTTGACAGTTATGGTCCATACCGTAGTGTATAGTGCCCTTTCAGGCACCAAACGGGCTTTAATTACCGGGATATGCTAATTACAGTACGAATCAAGATGGAGTGAAACTTAAGACATTGATTGTAACCAATTTTAGCTCATGTTTCATACTCAGCAGCACCATGCACAGAAAACGCATAATGAGGCTTAAAACCGTATCTGATATTATCGAAATTTAATCATCCACCTATCGACCACAAGGGAAACTCCATAACTATCCCTGCAGCAAGTTCGATTCCAAAAGGCACAATTATTTTCCAAAAGTTTGAAAAAAACAATCTTTTAACATTTGTTACTCATTCACAAATTGCAACCTCAATAGGCGAATATTTTGTCATACGAATATTAACATCAAGTATACATTTTACAAAACTGTATGGGGGTATTTTAAATTCTATGAGCAACCAGAGTCTTTCATAATTCAGCCAAGTCTAAAAACGTAGCTTTCGTAATTATCTCTATCTGTTCTAAGTGAACTAGGATAGTAGGTGAATGTACTGCAATACCATATTTTTCTGCTTGCAATTTGATTTTCCTGCTAAACCATCTTCAGATTCTAGAGAATCTTAACAATTAGAAACATAGTTTACAAATTACAACTCAACTCCACATCCCACCTAATAAAACAGCCCTCCTACTCAGCAATAAATTTCACGAATCAGCATATATTTAATTCACCAGCTGTAATCCCAACAACAGTCATTAAACTCTCCCTGGACAAAATTCAAAATGGTAAGTTAAACTTACCTTTCGTCAGCTGGTGGACGTCGCCGATTTTTCTCGCCATTTCCTCGAAAATACACTCGTCAGCCTACTTCCTGATAGCTTATGCAAAGCATTCTTAGCTCCGGCAACATCCATCTCCGCCAATCCCTGCAAGTGCCCACAAACGCCACTCGCCAAAAGCCTTTTCCGGCAACCCTTGCTACCTCCGGCCAGGATTGCCACCACCGCCACCGGAAACTTCTTTGGGACTACATCATTCTTGGGATCCAGCATTTGCACCAGCCTCGTCAGGCTCTTCTCATCCTTAACCAGCTCTTTTCTATTTGATTTTACCGATAACAACGATATCAATGCCTTAGCCCCAATCTCCTGTATTCCCTCAGGCTTTACCGACTCCATCAACTTCACCAGAGAACTCATACAACCGGCGATTAAGATCTTACTGCCATTACTAATGGATAATTTAGCAAGCAAAGAAGCAGATACGTGCAGTAGTTTCGCATTCCCGTATTTTATGATTTCGCCGATTTGTACTATGAATTGGGTCGATCCGGATAGGATTTTATGCCCGTTATCTGAAGCAGATAACGAATAAATCGCACGTAATACATGTTCTGAGGTATCCGCAGTCGGGCATTCGTGAAACAAATTGAGTAACCTGTTCAAACCATTTTCTTGTAGCAACAGATTACGAAAATGCTCACCGGTCGAGGCAAGAATGGATATGCAATTCGCCGCTTTTCCCTGAGCCGATGCATTTCCGGAGATGAGCAGCTGCATCAAGACAGGGATAACCCCTTCTTCTGCTAATGCAGCTCGAATATCCTCGACAATCGAAACATTTCTAATTGCTCCAATTGCGTGAGATTGAGCTGTGACGGTGCCGGATTTACACAATTCGACTAAAATGGGGACACCGCCATACGCGGAAATTGCCCACACGTTGTTCGGGTCGGCAGTGATGGCCTCGACGGCCATGGCTGCCTTTTCCTTTGCCGTGGATGAGCAGCACTCGATTGTTTTCAATAGAGGACACAAAGCCCCCTCCTCGAACACGCACTTACGGGGAAAATCGCCGCCGCCGGCCAGCAGGGAGACCGCGTGGACCGCCGATTCCCTGACGGAATCGTGGGAATTGGGATCGAGCAGGGATATCAGGCAGCCGACGCTCCCTTCCCTGGCGACGGCGGCGGCGGACTTGTCGTCCTCAGACAGGAGCTGAATTAGAGACTCCAGGGCCTTGCGCTTGAACTCCAGACCTCCGATCTGGAGCCTGGCGAAGAGGTCCCTGACGAAAAACGCGAGCTCGTCCCTCGAGGAGCCAGGGTTTGGGCGGGACAGGACAATGGCGGTAGAGTGGTGGAGGACACCGGAGCGGAGG